CTGTTGCCACTAACCTGTCCCCACACCCTCCTGGCTGTGTGTGGCCTGCACACCATGGCAGTATGGTCACGTGGGGGCTGGCTGTAGTTGTGGGACCCCTCTGTAACACCCAGGTCCCCTCCCTTCTGCATCTTGGTGAGCCCCTCTTCCAAAGCTTCCCAGAAAGAAGGAGTGTGAGGGAGGTGGTTTTGAGGCCTATGTTTCGAGAAATGGCACCGTGTTAGTCTCACACTTGGCTCAGGTTTGGCTAGGTGTCAGATCGCAGGCTGAGATGGTTTCTCCAGAGGCTTTGAAGCCTGGGCCGCATGTCTCCACCTCTGATGTTGGTGTTGGAAAGGCTGAAGCCCTTCTGATTCCTGACTGTCTGCACCTGCCATGCTCTTCCCTTGCCCAGGCATACCACTTTCTCTCCTCTCATCCTTTTTTTTTTTTAAATTCTGTCTTGCTGTTTTCTCCGAAATTTTCTGAGTTCTCTTCCAACCTTGCCATTGGGGTCTTCATTTTTACCCTGTTTCTCTCTATTGCCTCTTTACTTTTCAGCCCAGTCAGTCTCTGGTGTCCACATGGAGACCGTGTGTGTACACTGCCTTTCTATCTAATGTTCAGGATCTCCCTCTTCTGGCCTCCTGCACCCTACCACTGCTGTTAGAGGCTCCCGAGCAGCCCGTGAAGGGGACACATTGTGCAGTGATAGGAGGGTTCAACTTTCACTTCCTCCTCATCTTTCTGTTTTCCAGATTCCAGATTATTATTATGCACCCTTCTCTTTGGTTCTGTTAATCTTTTTCCTTTCATGTTAATGGGACCTGTGACTGTACTTCCACCTTTTCCAGAGTTCCTGTTTGGCTTTAGGTCCAGCATGGGAGGTGTAGGGAGGGATTCAAGGGGAAGATGAGAACCAGATAGCAGGTAAGTACAGGGAGGCCCACCCCTTGTCAGCAGCCATCGTCCTGCTTTTGTTCATGTATAGTGATGTTTTCAGGAATTGACCAGAGTTATACCCAGGAGACTGTCTCAAAGGCACAGAAGGCAGCTCAGAAGGGGAGAGTCATGCAGGGAAAGGAGAGGGCCTGACCTAAGGTTCCAGGCATCTTTTTCTTCAGTTACAGGTCCTGATGTGGATAGTGCAGGACAAGTGTAGCAGCCCCAGGAGGCCACCAGAGACCCAAGCACATTTTCTTTCTTCAGTCATTGTTGATGTGCAGGTTTGGCTGTTGTTCACCCCTGGAGGCATGATGGCATCAGGTCCTGTAGCACCAGAACATGATGCAGACAGGAAGAAAGGGAAGAGTAAAGGGAATGTAACCCTCTTTATTAGGGAAAGGCATTTAGTAGCTTCTGCAGAATTTGTTGGACTGAACTGGTTTACAGACTCAATCCTAGCTGCAAGGGAGTCAGGAAGGAAGCATTTTATCTGAGTAATGCTGCTCCAAACTGAAGTCACTTTCTTTGGATAAACAAGACAGAGAGGATGGCCACTGAGACAGTGGATACTTGCCTGTGGCTGCTGCATTGCTGGGTGGCTACTGTGCATTTGTCATGGTGGGGAGTCACTGCTTAGGAAAGTGTCCATCTGGCAAAAATGACCACTCTGTGATGCTCCCAAAGCATTTGGGGAACCTCGGAAATTGCTTTCTGTAGCATTTACTCTTTTTTTTTTTCCTCCATTAATTGAGTCTGTGTTGGCCATTGGCAGTATCTAAGCAGTGTTGGTTTATGACTCAGAAATAAAGCCACATGGCCATTGTTGTGATCACAAAAAGTGAGAAAAATAGGTTGTCTGTAGTTCTTTATCTCTAAACTGTAGTTCTCATGTCTCCTTGGTCTCCTCTTGGCTTCTCAGACCTTTCTCACTTTCATGACCTTGGGAGCTCTGCGGAGTACTGGGCAGGTATTTTTGTAGACTGCTCCTCAATTTGCAGTTGTCTGGTGTTTTTCTCATGATCGGACTGGATTTGTGGCTTTTTTGGAAAAAACCACAGAGGTGCAGCGCCCTTCTTATCGCCCTGTATCCGTGGAGGAATGAGATCCATGTGACTGACGCTGTTACTTATGTCACTCAGATGTCCCAGCCTTGGCCAGGACTCCTTCAGGCCAGCTCCTGTGTCCCTCTGACATGTCCCTGTTGTTTTGGTTTTTTGTTTTTTTCCTGACTTTCTTGGTGTTACAAGACTCTCAAGGCTCATCTTGCATTTTTCCTGGCCTAGCCCTGGAATCAGCTATTCTGCAAGAAGCCTTGTTTCCTTTCCCTTGAAAATGGTGTTAGCAGCCACAATCTGAATGCAGGGTGTGCTCCGAGCAATGCAGGTGTCACTGCGCCCAGCCCCCTCAGTGGACAGAGCTAGGAAATGTGTGTGCATTCTCCTGTTACGCAGCTTGTGCCCTTCATGACTTCCCCCGTCTGCGTGCCTCACTAAGCGCGAATCCACACCAAGAGCTCAGGTTGGGGGTCAGCCCACGGGCACACTCTTGTCTCCCCGAGCTGACCTGTCTGCCTCCACCTCCCCAGCAGTGAGACACCGGCTCTCAGCACCCAGAGCACCCTCACATGTTTGTTCAGCCCCAGCATACGTGTGAGGCGGTGGCAGAATCATCAGCCTCCTCTCATGTGAAGTGAGCTTGCTCACTGGAGTGCAGTTCCTTTTGCCGTACTCTCAGAGTTTCCCATCAAAGCAGTATTTTCCCAGTTTCTTAGACCAGCTGCTTTTCCCACCCCTGCCCAAAGGCTGTGTGACTCGTCTGTATATAATGAGAGTCTCTTGTCATTGTCTGAGTTTCATCCTGAGATCCCTCAACTTCTGGATGAATTTTTACAAATTTTTATACAGTAAAAGTGCATTATTTGTGAGGTACAGTTCCAAGAGTTCTTTTTTCTTTCTTGTGGTGTGCAAACCCAGGGTGAAGTAAGCACTGTACCCCGAGCCGTATCTCTATCCTTAACTTTTTTCCTTTTCAAGACAGGGTGTTGCTGCGTTGCCCACACTAGTCTTGGAACTCCTGGATTCATGTGATCCTGCTGCCTTTACCTCCTGCAGAGCTGGGCTTTAGAGGTGTGAGGCACTGTGCCTGGGTAGATCTAAGAGTTTTTACAAATGCAGTCTCGAATCCACTACTTTAGTACCGACCGAACAGTTCCATCACACGAAAAATGGCCCTGTACATCCCCTGATCTCTCTATCCTCTGGCCTGCTTTTTTTCCATGTAGATTTGGCTTTTGCAGAATGCCCTATGAATGGAGTCAGGCAAGCTGTAGTCTTTGAGGTCTGGTTGCTTCCACTTAGTAAAATGCATTTAACACATTCACAATGGGGCTGGAATTCATATGTCTTGCTGCTGGGCAGCTTGAACCACCAGTGATACATGCATGAGTGTCCCATTGGGTGGCTTTTTATTAATTTTATTAGTAAAAAGACCAATAAAAGTGCGTAGATCTGTTTGTATCACCAGTGGTACAAGACAGACAGACAGACAGACACACACACACACACACACACACACACACACACACACATGCATGTACTCTGGAGCCCTTGTCTATGGTAGCATTTAGTCTTTTGCTGGCAAAAATTATAGGTATTTTATTAGTGCTGCTTCAAAGCGGGCCTTAGAAATGGAAATTTTCAAATGTGTTTTGTAAGCCTTAGCAGAAGGAGGGAAAAGACCTTTATGAAATTCCTGGCATGTGGTCCTTTTGACCTTTCCAGACAAGTGTACCAGTGCGTGCAAATTAGTGCTCCTTCCTTATTGGAGGTCAAGGGTAAGTGTCCTGGTTGTAGAGTGGGGGTTGGGTGGCGTGTGTGTGACACAACTTTGTCATTTCATATTATTAGGTTTTCTCTTACTGCCCAAAGCAGTTCAGCTGAAAAATATAGGCGTGCCAGAAGAGACAGTCACAAATCCCGTGTTTGCTTCCTGCCTTGTAGTTTATAGTTCATGCATTTGAACAGCGGGGCTCAGCCACTTGGTCATCTGTTTGCTTTGCTGTCCAGTTGAATGAAACTGGCTGTAAGTGTCCCCCGGTTGTGGCTTAGGAGAACACTGATGTCTATGGCATTAGGGACAGCTAGGCAGGCTCCATGGGCTTATTCTGTCCTTGTCCACCCTGCCTCTCAGCAGATGCAGCCTGGTTCCGGTGACCTTGGGGTGACACCAGAGAGCACAGAGTCTTCACCCCATGCCGCGGGATCCTGCAGGTGAGGGATAGGGCACAGGACAGGGTTCCTGCCCAGGTGGTTGTCCCAGCTTTTGCCAGCCCTCTCAGCATCAGCAGACCCAGGTAGCCACAGGTGTCGGAGTGCCCTGCACCGCTGCTGAAGAGGTCATTCCAGGAGGGGAATGTGGAGTGCCGCAGCCTGGATGGTGTCGCTCAGGTCATCTCCCTCCGGGTCTTGTTCCAGGCAGGGATGCCAGAGGGCAGAGGAAGCCTGGCAGAGGGCCAGGCAGGATGCAAGGAGGAAGGGGTGGTGTGGATGGCCAGGGGGTGGCCAGGAGCAGACCCGGGGCAGGGGTGGGCTGGGCTTTGTCTCCCAGGAGAGGTGGCCTTCTGCAGAGTTTAGAAGCCACTGGAATGCCTGCAGGCTGGATTGAGGGACAGGGCCCAGGGCTGCTGGTTCCCTGCCTCAGAAGCCTTTCTGTGCATGAGATTTTTGAACAAAGTGGTTTTCTCAGAAGATTCTGGTTATATATTTCCAGTAACTGCACGCATCTGGTGGCCAGTGGGCCTAGGCTCCTGAAGGAGAGGACTGGAAGCTTCCCTGGCCCCTGCCTGGGTGTTGGGAGCAGAATTTTGTAGCAAGGTTCTGCCTCTTTTTTTTTTTTTTTCTTTTGCTTCAGCTCCCTCAAAACCGAAGGTCCAGGTCTATGGTCAAAATGATAATTCTGATTTATGTACATTATCAAATCAAATGTGAATGGTGGTTTTTTTGGCTTTGTTTGGTTTTCTGTTCATTTGGAAGTGGCCATCACGTTTTTTCCTATGGAACGTGGAGCCTGCTGCATTACCTGGGTCAGGCCAGGGGTAAGTTCGCCTGTGACCTAGACTGAGGTGCCCCAGCTGGCCAGGGGGTTCCTAGGCTACCACTTGGGGTGGGTCCTCAGGCAGGAGCCTGCTCTCCTCACATAGGCAGGACCTTCTGGAAAAGAGCTGCCCAGCTCCTCCTGAGCGAGAGGCGGCCTTCTGTCTCCACATGGGTGGCAGACTAGGCCCCCGGGGGTCATCTTGATAGGAGGCAGCCCACTCCTTGGAGGCCTGCCATGAAATTGGAAATGGGCCAGTGCTGCAGCCTGGCTGTTGGGGAGCTGCTGGCCCTTCCCTGTGAAGCCAGAGCCCCCAGGGCGTAGGGGGTGACTTTGTCCCTATCTTGGGGGCTGGTGCCTGAAGTGTGGCTTCACTATTGCCTTCCTTTCTCTTCTGTTCTCACCTGGGACGGGCTAGCCAGGGCAGTATGCTGTAGCAATTGCTGTTCTACTGTGGAGAGGACCTTTGAAAATTTCTTTCTAGGAGAAATCTAGGCTCTGAGCCCAGCCCTGCTGGGTGGGGTGTAACCTTGGTGAGGTCATGGATGCCTCCTGTCCGAGGTGGGTCTCGCTGACACCTCCCTGTCTCTCAGGTTGGCAGTCAGATGAGCTGCCCCTCCACGAGCGTGAAGCCACACATGAGGCCGTCTGCGCTGTGGGTTGCTCTTGCCATCAGACCATCTGTGTAGCAGGGCTGGGTGCAGGTCGCTGCAGCAGGGCCCACCCAGGAGGCGCCAGGGAGAGGGCAGAGGGAGGAAATGAAGGCCAGGGAGCGGGAGATGCAGGAAGAGGAAGTGGGGTGCGTGGTTGCCAAAAAGGCAGAGCGGGGCCCCTCCCTCAACTGCCCAGAAAAGCCAGGGTGTGTGCAAGGAGGTGGGGTGAGGGCTGGCTGTGCGCACTGTGCTCCGACCCCCACCGTGCCTCCCTTGCTGCCGAGGACCCCAGCTGACCCTAGAGACTTTAAGCAAGGGATGTGTGAGCAGCCTCAGGTTAGCAGAGGGTTCTTCGGTGTCAGGGAGCAGTTGGACGTCTCTGCAGTTCTCAGCAGATCCCCCACCCCTGCCACTGCTGATGGCTGGTGTCACCTGACGTCACAGCCCGGCACAGCCTGCCAGAGACAGGAACAAGGGGCTTTTCCACACTGCCCGCTTCCCCCACACACTTCCCGCCCTCCCTCCTTCCTTCCATTTGTTTTTAGTCCAAGGGAAAACCCTTTCCCAGAAGTCTGCAGCTCCCTCGATGACCACTGCTCACCAGTACCTGCAGACAGACGACTCTCCTGCCTTAAACTTGGGGTCTTGTGCTGGTGTCTGGGAGGACCTGGCCCCTAGGCTGCCAGCACCTGCCCTACCCACCCAGGTTGGTTTTCAGCAGGGCCCATGAAGTGGTTTTTATGGCAGGAGCTTGGTGTTCTGGAGCAGGGAGGGGGCCTCGAACACATAATTATAACCCTGGATCTGCTGCTGTTTAAATTCCTCGCTGAGTATTTATTTGCCATCTCTCTCCGTTTTAAATCTGACCTGTTCTAAATTGCCTGGCTAAGCCTTTGTCGGGTAGCACCCTTCAGAAGAACAGTGTGCTGGGTGACCGGAGGGCTCCAGAGCCTTGGAGCCCGGCCCTGGGACGTCTCCTAGGAGGGAAGAACGACTGTGCTGCTAGTTGCTGTTTCTGAGTTTCTCATACTTTTAAGCACCCCCACCATGGTCTGAAGAAAAGCCACCCAGGTGACCATTGTTTTAGGGCAGCTCTTGGGGTGGTATTGTGCTGAATATGAGGCAGCACGTAAGCCTGAGTGGGGCCTGGCCACTGAGAGTGCTCAGTGTCTAATTTTTATCATCAGTCTATCTGTCATCTCTCTCTCTCTCAGTGCCTCACGTAGGCTGCTCAAGTGCTCTACTGCTGCGCAGCACCCACAGCCCTAATGTCTAATTTTTAAGTTGGCATCAGTTATGATTAGCATTTTTCTAGTTTGCTGTGTACTTTTTTAATTGAATGTCTGAGTAAGCAGTAGTGCATTCTTTAGTAAGTTCTAAAACCCACCACCCTTGGACTAGCCGGCAGCAGCACATTTGTGTGCCCAGAACCTCAAAAGTTTAAGCAGGCTCCAAACTTCCCAGTCTTCCCCTGCTGTCTTCCCCAGGTAGTCGCTGTCCTCCTCTCCAGGCGTCCCCAGAACACACACACAGGTGCACACATCTCTGTACCGTCTGCCTGCCCTGCACGCATTCTGTGCCGGGCCTTGTTTTCTCCCCTAGGTTGGACAGTTTGGGTGTCCTTCCACATCAGTTCGGGAAGAACTCCTACTTGTTTTTCACAGTATCGCCTCACAAGGGTGTCCCACAGTGTACCTAAACACCCGTGGAAGAACAGGAGCGCACATCGGGCGCACATCCCCCTTTGTGGGTGCATGGGTGTGTTTGTAGGATAAGGTTCCAAAAGTCCAGTTGCAGGGTCAAAGGGGATGCATGTTTGTATGGATAGGTATCACCAGTCTCCCTGCAAAGAACTTGTAACACTTAGGACTCCCCCCAACAAAACATCCAGTGCTTGTTTCACCAAGCCTCACCAGCGGAATAGATACAAAGCTTTCCTTTAACTCCTGGTTGGGGAGGTGGAGCACATTTTCTAGTGTTAAAGAGACATTTGTTTTTCCGCTCTTATGAACTGCTTTTGCCTGTTTTTCTATTTTATGTTGTATATTTTCTGATTTCTGTGAGTTTCTTCTATTTTGGAGGTTAGCTTTTTGTGATATGAGTTATAAGTGTATTTTTTTTGTTTGCCAGTTATCTTTTTCCTCTTTCTATAATGCCTTTGTCCATGAACTGTGTAGTCAAATTTGTCATTTCTTTTACAGCTCCTGCACTTTGGTTCATGTAGAAAGAACTTCTAGTATTATAGAACAGTTTATTCCTAGATGTCCATGGTTTAATTTTTCACATTTAAATCTTTAATGGATTTAGAATTTTTTATTTTTTAAAAATCTTAGATATATAAAAATTTACATGTTTATGGGGTACTATGTGATTTTTTGATTTTGAATTTCTCTTGGTATAAGGGTCACAGTATGAGTTCAGCCCTCTGCATGGATACTATCTAGTTTACCTTTACTGCTCCCCAAGGCAAGGTGCCACTTTATCCTGTGCACAGCTGCCTCTGCCTGTTGTCCCATTCTTTTATTCCTCCTGCACTCCCCTAGCCAGTTCTCAGCTGATACTGCACAGGTTGAGATTCTGGTCCTCTGGCTCCCCATCCCCATGGCATTCTTCCTTTGCAGAGCTTTTCTGGCTGTTTGTCTGTGTTTCTATATAGATTTTAAGATCAAGTTATTCCATACCAAAACACAGAAAAGCAAACAACAACAACAAAAATGCACATTGTAAAAAACATCTTTGTGTCTGTTGCAGAAACGCCAACACACACTGGGCAGAGGTGGGCTGTGAGGCTGTGCCTGAAGTCTCCAGCCAGCCCTGTGTCCCTCCGGTGTCCTGACGCTCTTGCATGAGCACCAATGTACAGGACATATGTGATCAGTCACACCACACAACCAAACTGCACCAGGCCGGTGTGCCCAGAGGCAGGGCCTGGAGTCAGGCAGCTTCTGGAAACAGTGGTCCTACCCGCTGTCCACAGACTGCCCAGGGCCTCTTGCCCACAGGTGATAATAGTGTATAGCAGGCATCTGTGGGAGTCAGCCCTTCCTCACAGGCTCCCAGGAACTGAGAAATGGGCAAGACGTGTGACGGGTTGCTTCCTTGCAGTAGGCATCTCCCTGCTGTGGTCTGAGTCCTAGGGTCTGAGAGGCCCCAGCTGTGGCTCTGGCTCTGCCACCAGCCAGCTGAGTGGCAGCTCCCCTGTGCTCACCTCCCTCACCTGTTCAGGGGATAGGTAAAAAAAGTGTCCGGCTGGAGCCGGGTCATTGCACGGTGGGTCTTCATGGCTTTCACAAGCCCCGGCATTTGTAGTGGCCTCCTACAGAGTTGGGACAGTTGTCCCCCTCCTTGACGACATGAGTGCCTGGGTCTCCGCAGAGGTGGCAGTGGATCAGCTCTGGTGTTGGCCATCTGCTGAGCTGCCCCAGAGGAGGCGGGCACACAGGCCTCCCCGAGGGAAGGGCATGGCAGTCTTGAGGCAGGGAGCTGGGCATGGCCCCAGCCAGTGCCCACAGATCAAACCTGTTCATTGACAGTGACCGCCCCAAATGATACCCCACAAGCCCGCTCCTGCGTGTGGGTAGCAGGACCCGGAAGCTCAGGAGAAGCGATTTCTCTCCAGAGGCCTCTGGCATGGCCTCACCAGCACCCCACACGTATCCTCTGTGCCTACGGAGAGGTCTGCGCTGTGATCCAGCACCCTCCACCCCCCATCCATCTGCCTCTCCAGTGCCCTCTGGTCAGACAGGTCCCTTCCCTTCCCCATGCCACCGAAGGGACTCCGCCGGGACCAAGCAGGAGGATGGTGCCAGTAAGAGGTCCTAGGCCCCGGCTCAGTGCCGGGCATGGGGGCAGCAGTGAAAAATGCCCCCCCCCTCCAGTTGCCCACAGGAGACAGCAGAAAGCAGCGCGCCGTGGTTTGCCGGGTGTTTTTGAGCAGGAGGGGCCGCCGTGGGGCAGTGCGGCAGTTTGGGAAGCCTGGCTGGCTGACGCTGGTAGTGCAAGCGAGCCCCGGGCACGGGAGGCCCGGGCGGAAGGGAGTTGGCCCTCAGCACCGGCCCGGGCTTCCGGGGATCCTATGGCTGCTGCGGAATGCTGGGCGCGGATCCCGCGGAGAGCCCGCGGCCGGGTCCCCCCTCGGCCGCCGCAGAACGCGCTGTTCCCGGCTGCGGCTTGGGCAAGAGCGCTGGGGACGCCGTGTTCCGATGAGATGAGGCAATCGTCCTCGGCCCTGCTCGACTCGCGGCGGCCTCGCGGCGGCGCCAAGGAACATTTATATAACCGCAGCCCCAGTGCAAGCCCGCGCCTGCGTGCCTCGCCGCTGCTGCACCCCCTCCACCTGTGCACACCAAGCACTCTGCGCCCCGCCCTGCGCGCCGGTGAGCATACCCGACCCTGAGGCCCCCTTCGGCCCCCTCTGGCCACCACCCTCGGGGCCTGGCCCCGCCTCTGTCCCCCCCCCCGCAGTGCCCCGCCTTCCTGTCCTGTGCCCGACCTCCACCCAGGCAGTTGCACAGGGCCCCGATCCCTGGTCCTCTGGGGACGCTGTGGAGCTGAAGACCCCCGCCCCTCCCATCTCAGCTGGACGAGCCCTCTCGCAGGATGGGGCAGCCTCCTTGTCACATGACCCGGAGGAGGCAGAGCTGGAGTTGGGTCCCACAGGAGGACCCTGGCTCCCTTTGCAGGGGGAGGGAGGTGGGCTCAGGCGGAGGGCCCAGCCTGGGCGCCCCACCCTTCTGTTCTTGCCCTGTGCTTGCCCAGCTCAGCCACACCACCCTGAGGTCAGTCCCCAGAACAGCGGATTCAGTGAGGACAGAAGGACACCTGCGGGTACCTGACACCCACCCTTTCAGGGGGCCACGAGATCAAAGCTGTTGTGGATCCATAACAGTGACATTATTGACCCTTCTTTGTCCCAAAGAGCACAGTGGAGTATTCCAGGCACTACACATTGTAATGACATCATGCCTCTGGACAGCTACTGGAGTGCGTGCTCGGGTGTAAGATTTTCTTCATTTGTAAGAGTCAATTTCAATGGATGTAACAATCCATGCAAGCAAATACTGTTTGGGGACCTCACTGAAAGTATGCGTGAGTGCGCTGGGCTGCAGTTTTCTGGTGCCTCCCCCCCCCATGCTTGGGGCCTCCTGGGTGCCGCTGGGATGTCACACTCAGGACCCCCAGCCAGACCTAGTGCTGCTCCTTGCCAGCATGAATCATAACTTCCTTTTGTAGACCAGCTTATTGGCCATTGCCTCTCCTGAAATAGGCGGAGTGAGGAACAGAGCGGAGCAGGGAGGCACGTGTCTGTCTAGGTCAGGATCCAGGTCCCAGAGCCGGGTCATGAGTATGGGCTCAGTAAGAGCCTAGGAGTTGGAGAGCTTTGGGCCCTGCAACCAGTGATTCAGGCCGCCTCCCCCCTCCTCTCTGGGAAGTAGACGCCATACCCACCTGCTTGACTCTGTAGTTCTTCGCATCCCCGACATCACATGCCTGTGCCTGTGCGTAACTGTGCTCATCTCCTGGGCCTCCCGGGGTGGCAAGCAGAAGGACCCTGGGAAGGTCAAGGGCCCCAACACAGGCCCAGGGGTTAGAAGCAAGGGTGCGTCTGAGCCCCCCTCCCCATCCAAGAGAGCCCACTGGCGGTGATAATGGGTGAGAGCAGTGGTAATAGATCCACTTCAGGGGAGCACGTTTGGAACATGCCACGCCCACACTGAGGCTGCTGTGCAAAACCCTGTGGAATCTCCAGCATGTTCATTTCCTGTGGTTACTGTAACACATTTCCACAAGCTGGGCAGCTTGGAAACAACATACACTTACTCAAGATGCCTGAAGTCAGACGTCTGAAAGCAAGGTGTTGGCAGGGTCAGTTCCTCCTTCCTGGAGGCTGGGAGGGGGGTCCATGCTGGCTTCTCTCCTTGCTGCTCCTGGTGCCCGCAGTCTGCTGTGTTCCTTGGCTTCCTGATTCCTGCATCTCCTGCATCACTGCAGTTCACTTG